TTACTGCAAATGATTTATCTGTAGCAACATGTTAAACAAATATTGCTATAGATGAATTTTCTGTTACTACATGTTCCACATGTTGCTACAGATGATTTATCTTTAGCAAGATTTGTTTCACATGTTGTTATAGATGATTCATTTGTTGCTACATGTGACAGAAATCTTGCTACGGAGGATTTATCTGTAGCAACATGTGACAAATGTTGCTACAGATGAATTCTCTATTGCTACATGTGCTACATGTTGCTATAGAGGATTTAACTGTAGCAAGATTTATGTCACATGTAGCAAAAACTGAATCATCTTTAGCAACATAAGAGACATCTATAGCAACATGTAACTGTAATATAGTAATAATATTCTCAACTTACTGTATTAAAAAGAGGGTTAAAAAGATCTGGAATATGCCTTTCTTTGGTAGTTTTTGTTCTTGCCATCAACCATTTTCATCATTCTTGGGATCTCTCTTCTTCTACATTTACTTGATGGGTCAAATAAGGAATGACTTCAAATGCCCAGGCCTGTAAAAAAAGAAAAACATGTCAATAATCAAATGTTGAATTATTACTTAATATAATATAAAAAGATTAAAAATATTCAGCTTTAGCATGAAAGCCCATGGAAACCTTAACAAGTTACTGGTCTTTTCTCCTAAAGGTCTCAACAAGTAGTCGACAATTAAATGAAATCTCTTATGACCCCATGGGTAGTTGTTGATAGCATCAATATCCTGACAAAAATTGACATACTTTAAAAGTATGTTCTTGCTCGGATCCTTCGGCAAAAGTATACTATGTGTAAACCAAAGTAAGCACAATGACTCCTCGTGCTTTCTTTGGTGTGTACTTCCATTCCAACAAACTTAATAAGTTATAATTTTTAAAGCTTTTGCCAACAAGGGACATAAAGTCCTGCTCCTCGGTTGGCAGCGACTGTTGTCCCGCTTCTTCTACTTCTTTCAGTAGTAACTGTCTTCTTCGTGGTTCTGTTTTTACAATGTATTCAGGGATGAGCTCAACAGGAGGATTACATTTTAGCCTGGTTACTATGGCAAACTCTCTTATGCCAAAGAAAACTTGCATGCCACAATAATTATTTGCAATATCATCCTTCTTATTGAGATTTTCAAAAATGAACCTTCTTTTCAGAAGTTCATACACGATGGTCATTTGAAAACGTGGAAGTGGATCAATAGGTAAATCAAGAAAATGACCAAAAACAACTACTTTTGAAAAAAAGATTCCAATTGATTTCTCTTGACGATATCCCTGAATTTGACGAAAGGTCTTCCCAGGACTTTCCTAATAATGTTTTCACCATTAGCATTAGACTACTGATGCACATGGAAAGTGTATACATTGATGATATTAATCCCATCATCACCACTAGCATTGAACTCTTCATGAAGTTCTTGTTCTTCATGGAACTTCATACATTTTTTCTTCTTGTTCCCCAACTACTACTTCAATTTTTTTTCCCTTCTTCTTGCTGAACTTCATTTATTTTCCCTTGTTCCTCAACTTTTTCTTGTTTTTCATCTTCTTTCTCCACTACTTGTATTTCTTCATATTCTTTTTGAAATTTTTTTACTTATGCTTGAGAAGAAGAAACTGCTTTAGTTGCAAGATTTTCTAAAAGTGTAGTAGTTTCATTCCTCTTCCTAGTAATTTTAGACCTAGACTTCTTCTGGATCATTGTTTGGTCAGATATATAAATATCAAGTTTTCTTTTATTAGGAGCCATTATATTTGTATCTGCAACAACAAAAATAAAATATTTGAAAGACACACAGACATGATCTACAAACACAAGTCAAACAGGGAATAAGCAGATAAATACATGCATTTCAAACCCTAATTAAATGTTAGCTTAGAAGATATATATCAACGACAAAATAGAAATTATGAGGACAACACCGCCTTGCTGTAGAAGATGATCTGTGAAGGAAGGACTAAGAGAAGAAGAGAAGAGAGAAGGAGAAAAATACTTGCATAGTAGATAAGAAAACTGAAATTAGTTAGTGTAAATAAATAAATCTTGGAATATGAAACGACATTTATAGAAGAGAGGAGAGAGGGAAAATGAAAATTAAAGTCATTTATTTTTTAAAAATAATGACAATTCAAACTGTGACATATGTTGTTACATATATACTATTTGGTGCTACATATAAAAGATCTGTTATGACATATAATTTTTTGGTATTTATTACAACAGAAATTACATATGTTGCCACAGACAACAAATTTGATCCTTTCTATCGTAGTTGACATTTGTTAATACAAAATCAAAATAATCATAAAAAACATTTTAATTAACACTTCACCAATTGTTTTATACAACTTATCAACAAAAAGGTAATTCACAATGATATGATATGCATAACCACCTATCGAATCAATGGTTATAAACAAAACATTTTCATCGATCTTAGATTTTTTTTAGTTCTACGCATCTTTGGGTCTTCAGTGTTACTAACATAACCATTTAGAGCCTTTACAATCCCATAATTTCATAGGAGTGAATCATATCTCAAGCGAAGGGTGTTAGCACTAATTCCACATAATGGTACTTCTAATCCATCACTCAAAAACTCAGCGTATGCAGCAACAAAAATTCCACAATCTCTGCATGACATATCATCAATCAGAAAATATAACATCACATTTCGATAGTCGTAAGACAAAATAATACTGTGATACTTACAGAGTACTGCTTTCTTGTTGAGCAATACAAGTAACATGACTGACTTTGAATGGGTAAATTGTTCTTCCCTTGGTATCATTTAAGAACTGACCAGTTGGTTCGCTCATTTTGCTTAAAAATCCACTCAACTCAAGGTACTTTGGCGACATAGTAGACATCTTTTGAATCTCGGAGGATAATTTTTTATTAGACCTATTTGAGGACATTCAATCATACACTTTTATGCACCGTTCCTTCAATGCAACGGCTGCCAAGACCCAATGGAATTCCCCATTACTATTTACAGGGACATAAACATCATCTGTCAAGTGCCAAGGCAGTCTACAAAGTATACCAAACCCTTTATTTATGCCAACGATTTTATCCTCATATTCACTAGCATTGTCAAGGTATGTTTTGAAAAAACAATTAGTGGTGGTATATTGATTTTTAGACTGAATCTATTTCATCGACTTCTTACGCAAACAGTAAAATATGGCATCCACATACTGCACACATGCATAAAGCAAGTGTATCAATTTAATTGTATATATTCATGTAGTAAAAAATACATATAAAAGTGTTCATGGATTTACCTCATCATTCTAGCACTTATTGGGTTGAGACGTTATATAGAATAGTCCTTATTCCATGGAAATGCAACTACTAAGTCAAGTTGGTCAAATTCAAGTTTTGAGCAATTGGCTAAGTAATGATCCTTCTTATTTCCTCTGCAATTGTGTAATCATTATAAATTATTATTTATTGGACAACAAGAATAAATTCTAATAATAATTGAACAACCTTACTATACTCACATTTTTGCATGGTGCTTGTAAAGACCCTTGTTTATCCATTGCGAGAAGGATGACATTAGTTTAGTTGGACCCTCGCCTTCAATATTAAAACCTTCAAATGGATATTGATGCTTCACATCACAATTGAAAACTTCGACTTTCTTTCCTTTATTTTCCGCTATCGCGTTTTCTTTCTGCTTCACCTTTTCCTTCTCCTTCTGCTTCTCCATCTCCTTTGCCTTCTTCTTCTCCATCTCCTTCTCCTGTTTTGCCTTCTTCTTCTTCTCCTTCTCCCCATTTGCCTTCTTCTCCCTCTCCTTCTCCTCCTTTGCCTTCTTCTCCTTCTCCTCCTTTACATTCTTCTCCTCCTCCTTCTCGTCGTTCTCCTTTTCCTCCTTTGCCTTCTTTTCCCTTTTTTTTCTTCTCAATAATTATACAAAGTGTTTGAGAAATAAATTTTTTCAACCTCCTACACTTCAAAGGCTGTGATGTCTTCTTGGATAAAATAATCATGTTGCTTCTCACATTCTTCGCATAGACAAAAAAAGCATTTCATTTTAGAAGATTGAGTTGTTGTCATGGATGAAGCTTCTTGTATCATTTTATCTACAAAGTAAATAAATAAATATTGAGATTTTACAATTCATTATAAAATAATAATAGAAGTATGTTGCAACAGATGGATAACAACTAATGAATCATATGTTGAAAAAAATGTACTGATTATTGCAACATTTGAATCTTATGTGGCAACAGATGACCATTTTTTGACATAAAGTGAGAGGTTACGACATATGATAACTGTTTGAATATGCACCAACCTATGACTAAAATGTTACAACATACGCTAAATATTTAAACAAATGAAATATATTTTGGACGCCTGAACAACACTTTATTTCTAAAATCATATCAACAAAATGGCCACAAAAAGAGCAACAACACCAACAAAAAATGACTTTTCACTGAATGAGAACAATATATATACATTTCATCAAATTATGGATTTTTTGAGTTGTGTGATTTTCTTTTAAAATAATAAATAATGCACACAATTAAGTCAATATTTAATTTTTACATCTACAGAACGTTTTATTGTTCATTAATCCAAGAAAAAACTTTGAAAATTGTAAAATATTTCAAAAAAATAACTTACCCATTTCAAGTCTAGTCGAAGACGATTACCGTTCAGAAAGATGAGAGAGTAATAGAGGACTAGAGAGGAAGAGTAGAAACTGTAAAGGAAGAGTAACGATGGATTTCCGAATTTCTAAGGAAGAAGAAGAAAAATCTTCCAAGGGAATAAGAAAAGAAGAGAGAAGAGAGGAAGGAAGATGGAAAGATCTTATTTGGTTTGAATAATAAACGTGTTTTTTTTGTATTTTATAAAAGATTAGAAAGTTTTGAATATGTTAATTTGGTCTCATAATTACTTAATTATATTTTAAACACCAGCTCTTGGTCAATCTGTCACGAAAAACCAAAAACGAACTTATTTGATACTTTTTGCTTAATTTTCTCCAATAACATTGCCTCTTAAGTCAACTAATCTATTTATTTTCCTTTTTCTTTGACATGCTTTCTCTCTGTTTTCTTGTTATTTTTTTAATTTCATGTAATGTTTTTATTTATCCATCAAATTTAATTACACCAGTGGTAGATAGTAGAACATAAATTAGGCCTTCAATTGCAAACCCCAGATTTGTTTTGCAGGTAACTCAATATTTCCAAATCTTAACAAAGATGGACTGATTCTGATTTTCCGTCTTTGATTTTTTACTATATATTCTTTTGATTCAGGTGATAGAGTTAGTTGAGGTCTAACCTGATCGTATTGCACCTGTAGTTTGTTGTCCTTCCGTTGTTCTTACTATGTGTTGTTTCTTGTAGCTCGATTATATATGGTATTGTTTTGTTCTAATTTTTTTTGTTACTATCTGCTGTTTCTTGTATCTCAATTATATATCCTTTTGTTTTGTTTTAGTTTCTGTTTTGTTTACTGTTTACAGTTTTTGTTATTTCTATATACTTCCGTTACTTATTTTTTCAGAACTGCTTTGGACAGTTTTTCCAGAAATAGCGTATCTAGGGGTAATGGATGCATACCCTCTCCAAACTCAACTTTGTGGAACTACATTGAATGTGTTGTTGTAGTGGAACTACATCGGGTATGTTGTAAAAACACAAAATTTTTTGATTGTCTCAAGGGGATTCAACAGTACTATGCCTATAAAAAATAATTTTGGCTTTGTATACATGTTATGGTGCAATTTTTCGGGGAGGGTGTTTCCGATGAGCCCGTTTGAGTCCCATTAGTTCTGCCCCTGACTGGTAGTATGGTAAGAGAGGTCTTTTGTGTTTAATAATAGCATGTCTAGGTTAGCATCTGCAGGAACCTCAACTTATCAACTTTATACTGGTGATCGATCCTGTCAATTAAGGCTTAGGTAGATGAAACGAATTGATCTGGTCCCTGCGGTTGACATTTCATCTGGTCCCTGAGGTTGTTATTTCAAACTCTTGGACTATTAGTCTATACGTCCCTCTTTCTTCCTATATCGTCAGTTCTTTTGAAATAGTGTTCTTTTTTCTTCTCCCTGAAAGGATTCCAAAGAGAAAAGTTTAAAAACATTGGACGTAAGTGATAGGAGATGCTTGTAAGTATGCAGTTGTTACAGGATCAAACAAGGGAATTGGCTTCGAGGTTGTTAAGCAGCTCACCAATTCAGATGTAACAGTTCTCTTAACAGCCAGAGACGAAAAGAGAGGAGCTGAAGCAACATCCTTGCTGAATGAACGAAGATTTTCTAATGTTGTGTTTCATCAGCTTAATGTTCAAGATGCTCAGAGCATTGAGTCCTTGGCAAAGTTCGTACAAACATAATATGGAAGGCTTGATATTCTGGTATCGAACAAGTTTCTCGTGAAAGTTGTTCAATGTTACTGTACATAAATCTATTTTATTGCTCCTCATTCAATCTCGAGGAAAGTGTTGGACACTTGCTGAATAAATTTCTGCAGGTAAATAGTGCTGGAGTTTCTGGAGTGGTACCTGATGAAGATGTCCTAAGGGCCATGAACATGGATCTTGTAAACTGGGTAAGATAATTTTGTACATGCTTAGCTCTTGTTTTTTTATGCGATTTGATCTCATATCAAGCTTTGAGGTAGGCGATAGTCCCCGTGTGTGGTCTGATCTTGCTCTGAAAAGACACTCAAATTTGTCCCCAACCGGCAATTATGCACATCTAGACACCTCCAAAATATATGTGACACGCCAGCTTCCAAGTGTCCATGAGACATAGTGGGATGAGCTGAAGTGTTTAGTTTTCAGTTGAGTGCTTACTTGTGAACTGATGCCAAGTTTTTTGACTGTTTAGCCGATCCTAACTTGTTTGAGACTGAGGCATAATAATTGTTATATCTTGTTATTGTAAACAGTTACCAGGGAAACTTTCGATGACATTAGAGCTGTGATGAAAACAACATACGACAGTGCCAAATTATGCTTGGACACTAATTACTAAGGTGTTATGATTTTTACTGAAGCTCTTCTTCCACTGCTGCAAAATTCCCCTTCACCAAGGATTGTTAATGTCTCGTCCCGTAGAGATGCTTTAAATGTAAGTAAGACTGTCATTTGTGTTGTTTCTGAACATTTTATAGTTCTTGTTGATTTTTGTTGTCACCTAGCTAATGCCAAATGAGGAGATGAGAAAGGAGCTCGGAGATATTGAAAACCTGACAGAAGAAAAAATCGATGGGATTCTGCAGAATTTTTTTGCATGATCTGAAACAAGATGCTCTTGCAGTGAACGGTTGGCAGATGATTGGACCAGTCTATTGCATATCAAAACTATTGCTTAATGCTTACACCAGAGTTGTTGCAAGAAAGTACCTGAAAATGTGCATCAAATGGAGGACCTACTAATTGCTACTTTGATCGTACAATAGTCTCTGAGTTTTAGATAGAACAACTACAACTACACATGCCCCAGTTGCAAACAAGTTGGTTAGGTTTAGTGAAATAAGACTTTCTTTTAGCATCTCTTGTTATTTGGTCTAATTTCTGAGCTTGGTTGGTGTCCAGACGTTGAAATAATGAGGGAAGGAAAGGAAAAATTGATCCTTCCTCCCTACCCAAACCCCATTTGTGAGATTACACTGGCTACGTGGTTTTTTTTCCTGCTTCTATTTTAGGATAATGATTATGTGGTAAGTGTAGATCATGAGCATGATATCACATCATTTCATGCATCGAAAAGCGTAATAACTAAGAGATTGTGATGACATAAAAAGTTGAGGTAACAAATGGTCATTACAAAGCAAACGTACTGATTACAAGCTGAAGTGAAATCCTAAAGACTAGTCCAGCACTGAGGAACATGACTCTTGTTTGCTCTGTTCCATTTGAATCGTATACACGGGAGGAATTGCAAAATAATCTACTGTAAATTGAAGAGGCACTCTCGTATATCGAGAAAATTCTAAAAAAATGAAAAGATTTTCTAAGCCTAATTTCAATCTCCAATCTGAAAGAAGATGGACAAGAACAGTCGATTTTTCGTCCTTTGAGTATCAGATGTTTGTATCTCAGTTTATAATACTCAGTTAAGGGAATAAATCTTGAATATCAAGGATATCATCTAGGACACCAGCTGCTGTGGTATCATTTGCTGCTCCAGCACTTCATAAAGGTATTTTACAATTTATCATCTTCTATAGAATCAAGGCATGTAATAAAACAAATGATAGAAGAAGATAAAGGAGAATGAAAATTTTGGACCAACAGATAACTTTATATAACATGGCATAAATAATGGAAGCAAGCATTCAAATTCGTTCTCTCTTTCTTATCAATGTTGTGGTCCCCTGATTGAGAAAGTGAGGTTGCATTTCTTAGACCCTAACAAAGATTAAGCAATAATTTTCTTGTAAAAATTATCTCAATTCCTACCTATACTAGATTTCTTTTAAAAATATAAATAATTCATTCTGATCTAAAGATATCCCCGTCGGCTTCACAGAAGCAATAGATGGTACATACTGTTCAAAAATAGTTACAACAAACAAGCGAAGGGAATTAACAAACAATCAAAATATACTAAGGAAATAGAATAACTTATATCTATTGGAGAAATACTCGTTTAAATCATTACATGTTTTCCCAATCAACATTTATCGTTTTAGCAATACGCATTCCACACTTTACTGCTCAACAAGATTTGAAAAAAGTAAAAGAATTGACAAAAAAGCAAAGGGAAGTAAACAAAAATAGGATGCTCCTGAGGAAAAAAGAAAAGCTTACACCATTTGTTTTAATCATTAAAGACATCCCTCATCGATTTGTATGGTGGGGATATGAGTGATTTCTTGCCAGTATTCCCCCTTGTCAAATTTTTGTAGTGGTTTGAGCAACGGGCAGTTGTAAATATATAGTTTAGAAAGGGAAGAGGGCATCCCTTCTACCGGAAGAGATTGGAGCTTAGGTCAATGGGAGATGTCTAGGTGAGAGAGGGAGGTGATAGAATGCGTGCGTCCACTATCAGTCAATGGACTAGGTCTCTTGACACAACAAGAACAATACAGAACATTAAACAGAAAGGAGAACACAACACAAGCAGTTTACCTGGAAACCTCCTTGCTCAAGGGAGTAAAACCATGACTAGTTCCACATGATTTTCAACCGTCTTCACTAATCTTCTCAAGCAAAAGTGAAACCCGATTACAATCAATGTGAGAAAGTTATTAATCTCACGACCAAGTATAACCCTATTACTTGAAGAGCCTAAGAGGATTCAAAACAGTCTACTAAGATATCACCCCTAGATAACAAGACTTTGCTAAGAGGATACCACACCGACCCGTCACCACGCTCCGGATGATTTAGTATTTGACTAAGCAAATACAACACTCCTGCAAGACCCCGAAAATCACTTAGGTGAGACTAACATGGTTTTCATGATGGTCCAAGGTCCTAAAATTGTTTATAACGTGTGTTTGAGGCAGTGTCTAAGATTTTAGATGCACTGGAAGTCAAACGTCAAGGGACGACCAAGACGTTCGACGATTAAGTCACCAATGCACCTTATATGTGGTGTTATGTGTTTATGTGTGATTCATGAGGTTATAAGGTCCTTAAATGAGATATTATTGTGTATATAGGTAGTGTTTTGAAGTTTCATGAAGTTTTGAGGTCAAACATCCAAGAACGTCCATGATGTTGGAAAGGTTTTCCTTGAAACGACGTTGCATGTCTATGCATGTTTCATCAAATTTTACGTGTTCGTGTTGGATGAAATTCATAAGAGAGGTCCTAAACTCATATACAATCATGTTTGGGTTGGAAATGTCCGAGCAAATATTCCCAAGGACCATCCAAGGGTCCTTGAAGAAGGATCCAATGTTGATGCAAAGACTATCCAAGACAGCCCAACCAACGGATGCCAATCGACACCCAGTGGGTCAGTCGACACCCCGTTGGTGGTGTCTCATCGATGGACACTTAAGCGTGGGATAGGAATCCAAAGACAAGCCTCAGACCACGGACCAACAGGTTGGTCTATTGGTCAAGGGACGGGCCGTTGATGGGCAACCGGTGCTGGGTCGGTCCCTGCGCACAACTTTATTGTTAAGTTGAGGGGTGAAGTTGCAAAATCACCCCACGCCCCTATAAGACTTTGGATAGTCATTTTGAGTTTTATGAGTATTTTAAGAGTATATAAGTCATTAAACTCTCAATTAAACCCTAACACCTAAATCGGAACACATTCCCACCCAAAGTTTCTTTAAAGACCCCATGAGAGTTTAAGGTGAAGATGAAGCTTGAAAATTGTTATTAAATGGAGTTTTTTCTTAAATTATCATTGGGTTCTTATAATGAGGTATGGGAGTTCTTCATCTAAGGCTTGTTATCACCTTAGAGCCAATTCCAAAGATGATTTTCAAAGATTTCAAAAAGATGAAAAAGTCCAATTTCTACTCTAAGTCTTGGGTTCCTGCATGAATGGTTTTCAAACGTTAAGATATGATATTACTGATTTATAATTGATGTTTTCCAATGAAATTCTCCATGAATACTTGACCTTCACAAATCTCTCAATTTGACTAAAATATGAATTATGTGATCATGCTTTGATATTGATGAATTCATGAGTAAATTGTTATGGGCTTTTGATTAATGTATAGATTAAAATTAATTCGTTTATAGGATGTTTCAATTTGATGAATTGAGTATTTTATATTCTTAGATCAATTGAATATTAAGCTTATTGAATTGATATTGACTTAAGGCTTATGAATTCTGGTATAGTTTTCTTTGGGCTATTGATTTATGTGTTAATTTTAGTAAATTGATATCTAGGTTGTATTAGATTGATGAAAATGTATTAAATTTACCTAGTTTCATTGATTATTGATATAACTGCATTGAATTATTGGTTATGGCCATGGGTAAGGGCCTTATGACATCGAATTGGACGATTTAGCCTTGAAATCGAAGTGGTAAGATGGACTGGGCGTATGCTGCCCCAATTCCTTTTATTTTATGTTAATTAGACTTCAATTATGTTGTGATTGGTATGGTCCACTTATGGTGACGGTGCTATGTGAATTAATGTGGCCTTGTCGGCGTTACTTTTGCAATAAGATGATCATGACCTTTTTGGCACTACTTGATGTATTATGATGATTTGTGTAATTGATTTATGTTAAGTATGAACACATATATCTATATGTGAAGTAATGTGAAAGTCTATGTGCTTCTATGTTTAGTCTTAGGGTTGATGCACGGTTGTTCCTACTTGACTATATGAGTCTATGAAGGTTATATTGATGATGATATGGTAGTGTATAGGATGACATCAAGATGATAATAGTAATTCCTAAATGACTTAAATAATGACAATTAATATGTGTTAAAGTGAAGTATGTTGTGTCTTGTCTTGGTTGACTTGTGTCCCTTACTTGATGCATATATGAATGTGAAGGTGAGATGTCTTGACTTAGTGTGCTAAAGCCTATTTTTCTTGTATTTATGAATTACATGTGACCTTGAATGATGTTAAGAAGGTCTTTTATGTGAAACCTTTAACCTAGTGGTAAGGTTATGAATGTTGAAGTCGAAAGCTGTAATGTTATCCTTCAAGTAAATGAATGATAGAGTTAATGTTGATTGTCTGAATCAACATCATATTAAACCTTAGGAAAGTCAAGATGAGCTTCTCATCTCCATTGGAAGGTATCCCTAAGAGGACCTCTTTGGTAGGGTAAATATGATTGAGTTATGAAATTGATATAGAACCCCTTTATATGAACCTTTAATGAAAATTACTCTATGAGAACAAAGGCTAGAACTGAGTGAGTATGGTAAGGGAAGTAGTTCTAGTTAAAAAATGAGAGTAGAACACAAAGCATGCCCTTCATATTCCTTAACCATGTGCCTATATGGGATGTGTTAAAGTTCTACCATTGGCTCGTAGAACACCCTCATCCGAGTAGGTTAGAACCCCAGATTCCATGTTTTGTTAACATGGTCTATGCCGGTTATTTACTATTCTCATCATATTGGATACTTAATAGCATTAAAGAAGTTTTATGAAGTTTAGGTGGTGGTATATGGTACTATCTAGACATTGCACAATAGGCTTTGAAGGTGTTAGTTGGAGTCCCTAGGTCTTTTCCAAGACCATTACTTGAATGTCCTTATGTGATGAATGAGTCTTTTAAGAACTAATGAATGTAATGACTTAAGTTAAGAAAGTATGTTAAATGAATAAGTACTTATCTAGAGTAGTTAAGGATTGTCTAGTTATGGCGTGAAGGGGGCAGAGGAGTGGTCACTTCTTATCTTACTTATATAATTCTTAAGAATGACTCTAGTTAAGGAAGATTGTTGATTATGTAGACATGATCCAAACTTCATGTATTCTTAAGTAGGTAATCTTGGACAGTTCATTATGGCGATTTACTTAAGTAAGTCTTTTGATAACCTTTGTAGGGGAGAATGTCATATTATATGTATGCTAATGTATTAAGTAAGAATGATTCTATCCTAAGTAGTCTATAGGATTTCTTAAGTGTTTGTGTAAGGGATTGTATGGGCGGTTGCTTCACAACTTACCCAAGTGAACCTCAAAATTACCTTTGGTAGGAGAATCTCATGTGCATGTGATTGATGTACTTGTAAGTATG